TTTAAAAATATGGTTTAAAACTTAGGGTTAGCTTTTTTTAAAAAGTTAGAAAAAAAGTTACCTTTTTAGGGTTTGATTTTTATTATATTTAATTTTTTAAATAAAAATTTTGGGTTTAATTATTTTAATAGCCAGGACTAAGCTTATTATAAAAAAATTATAAAAAATTAAAAAACTTTTTAATTAAAATAAGAAAAATTAAATAAAAATTACCCTAAATTTAAGGTTTACTTTTTTTTAAAAAATTATATAGGAAAAACATGTTTAAGGGTTTAGGTTAGGGGGAAGAAATATTTTAGTAACTTATTAATAAAGGGATTACTAAAGTATTAAGGTTATGCTATACTTACTAAAAATACCTAAAAAAGTAAGTATTATTACCTACCCTTAAAAAGTAATAATAACTATCCTTATAATTAAAAAAGCAAGTGTTAATAAGGTTATATAATATTTATTAAAATTACCTTAAAAAGTAAATATTACTGCCTGCCCTTAAGGGGTAGTAATAATTATTTTTATTAATAATATTTTAAAAAGTAAATATTATTACCTGCCCTTAAAGGGCAGTAATACCTATTTTTATTAAAAATACCTTAAAAAGTAAGTATTACTACCTACCCTTAAGGGGTAATAATACCTATTTTTATTAAAAGTACCTTAAAAAGCAAGTATTACTACCTATTTTTAAAGGGTAGTAATAACTGCTTTTATAATTAAAAAAGTAAGTATTAAGGTTATATTATACTTATTAAAAATATTTTAAAAAATAAGTATTACTACCTGCCCTTAAGGGGTAGTAATAATTATTTTTATTAAAAATATCTTAAAAAGCAAGTATTATTACTTACCCTTAAGGGGTAGTAATTACTATTTTTATAGCTAAAAAAGTAAGTATTAAAATTATATTATACTTATTAAAAGTATTTTAAAAAGTAAGTATTACTACTTGCCCTTAAAAGGTAGTAATAGCTATTTTTATTAAAAATACTTTAAAAAGTAAATATTATTACCTGCCCTTAAAGGGTAGTAATAGCTATTTTTACTAAAAATATTTTAAAAAATAAGTATTACTACCTACTTTTAAAAAGTAGTAATTACTACCCTTATAACTAAAAAAGTAAATATTAAGGTTATATTATATTTATTAAAAGTGTTTTAAAAAGCTAGTATTATTACCTACCTTTAAAAGGTAATAATTATTATTTTTACTAAAAGTACCTTAAAAAGTAAATATTATTACCTGCCCTTAAGGGGCAGTAATAGCTATTTTTATTAATAATATTTTAAAAAGTAAGTATTACTACCTGCCCTTAAGGGGTAGTAATAGCTATTTTTACTAAAAGTACCTTAAAAAGTAAGTATTATTACCTACCCTTAAAAAATAGTAATTACTATTACTACCTGCCCTTAAGGGGCAGCAATAGCTATTTTTACTAATAATACCTTAAAAAGTAAGTATTATTACCTACCCTTAAGGGGTAGTAATTATTA